GCACTCCACTAGTTACAAGCCTCCAACTAGATTCTGCCCCATTGACCACAGTTTGGAGATGCCTAATAGTTTAAGCACATGTGTAACACTTTGATGGTGTAAATAATTTCCACATGAACTACACTGCTGAGTACACGAAATGAAAAAGCTTTGTCCTCTCTTTAACCTTCATTTAACAAGGTAAATTTGAAACAAATTTTAATATGCAGATAAGTAAAAAATTGCCTTAAAAGATGTTACTTCACAGAAAAGAAATAAGTTACAGACATCAACATGGTAAGCAAAATGAAACTTTTGCCTTATTTTTAAATCTTAATTATTCTATATTCTTCATTTTCTGATTTATAATGAAAAAAGCTAATTTATCTTGCCACATTTAAAAAAGCAAACTAGCAGACTGCAGAGAAAATTACACTTTCTTTTCTTCTACTACATTAGTGACATATTAATCTGAAACTTTAAGACATAAACACAATTAATACATGTTCTAATAATTTATAAAATTAAAGGTACAATCTCATTTCTTGACTCCTAGTAATAAAAACACTTCAGCTGCTATTCGAATCTGAATCAACTTCTACTGGAGTCAACAGTCTTTTCACTGACTTCAGCAGTGCTGAATTAAGCTCCCCTCTCTTATTTTAGTAATTTTGAGCTATTTTATGTTTTTTTTGGTGTAGAATGCATACTTGATTAAGCACTTTAGAAATACCATACTGTGATGATTAAAACATGTTGTCGGTGTACCAAAAAATTACCTTCACTTTAAAGTCTTCTGACTTCTGTGTAAGTTCAATTAGAGTGGCATAAATTATGACAAGGTTAAGCAGAATATCTCCCCTCAGACTGTACCTATAAAAGAGTTTCATTGGACTGTTAATATTTAATATACACATGTAATAATTCAAAAACATTTATTCCATGTATTAATAAATGTTTGTTTAATCTCTTTGAATACAGAATACTAGTACAGTTTGAGCATTAATATCTGTGAAAGGAGAGCTAGGACAAATGAAGTGACTGAGTGCTGAAGGGTGCACTGTGATGAAGCAAATGGAGTCAGCTAACAGCAAAGCAAGTCTGGCCTGAAGCAAAAGGACTGGATCAGGGTCAGTCACGGGAGAAAATATATACAGCGAGGAAAGGTGATGCATGGAAAATTTACCACTTGCTGATAGAACAAAATCTCATGGTAGGTAACAAAGGAATGTTTATGAACTATGTCAACCAAGGCTGTGATTCCAAGCAAAAGGAGAACTACCGATGGATTGGAAGAACACTGGAAGAACGTCTCCCTGTTGCAAATGATGTACAGTGATGCTTACACAGTAATCGATAACCATGCATATGTAAGGGTTAATTTACTTCAAACAGTTATAAAGAATAATGTAAGTTAATATCCTTAGTCTTGTGAAATTTCTGGACCTATTGTCTTGACGTATGCATTAACATTACCTGCCTCAAATGCTGTTCTTTTAATAAGAACCATTTCTTTACCTCTTGCATAAGATTAAAAAGATCCTAACATATGATAAATATCTTCACTAACTTTTTTTTTTTTTGGGTCTCCAGTGATCACTGTTACTTCTGTCATTTCACTGAGCTTTTCAGTAGGTGATTGACAACACTGTAACTAAGTAAAATGTCAAAACCATGCCAGAAATGTGATCTTACAATATTCATATTGTTCTAAGAGAAATGTGTTCCTCCAGAGAAATTCAAAGAACAAAAAGTGTTAGCTTGTTCTAATAAGCATCTTCCTTTTCTTTTAAGTTTGTTTTTAAAATACCAAGATAACAAAAGAATTTCATAACTTACTTTAAACTCCGTCTTTCTCTGGAATAGAAAACAATCCAACAGCATGTGTATTGGAGTGATAGTGCAATCAGCTTCGATAGTACATTATCACAGGATTTTTTATAATTTAGTTCTTCCATACTCTACCATAAAATTAATACAAAAAATGAAAACATGGCTGTCACAAGCTTTTAATGTGCATCACTGTATTATGCAGAAGTTAGATCAAACATAAATACAGCTAAATAATACAGGTATTAAAGACACATTTGGAAGACAGGAAAACTAGGTTGTATTTCCAACTTTTAATTTGTGTGGTCTTTAAAAAGCTGATTGACTGCATCATGCCTCTTTTTCCCTCCTTTAAAAAGGAAACACTGCTGCTAACTTTTCAGGACGTTCTTAAGATTTTTGAGAAATTTAATAATGCAAAATAGTGTTATAAACCTCTGATGTACTTACTTAACCTAAACAAATCATATTATACCTACAATGAGCACATAAAGTACAACATCACTAATTGCAGTAGCATCTGCAGTAGCATATAAAAATGTCTATCTGTGCTTGCAATACTGATTATTTTACTCTTTACGTGTCTTTCAGTAGCATTTCTTCTACCTGTAAAGTCATCTGTCTTTCAGCATACCTGAATTCAAGTATTATGTTATCATCTAAACTATTACTTTTTATTAGAAGTAGGACAAATTCTTCTTTAGACTCTGAAATGGGAGGAATTAACATGCACACTGGTAAGTACAGTCACAGATACATTTAACTGATTATTACAATGTTCCTTTACACTATCCTAATTTCAAGTACTCACCCTTTAACTATATTTGATACAATCCAATATCAGGTCAAATGTTATACTTTTTTTGTGAAGAAATGTAGGTAGAGACATGAAAACATTTGAAATTAGTCAAACTGGCACAGACAGAATTTTGGAGTTAATGAATTTGCAAATCATTTGTGTCATGAGACAATGCATGAATTAAGTATGATTACAAGGAAGAAAAGATATGTTAAAAGGCTGAAGATACGGCCTAGAAGTGACCCACACATAACAGAATTTGGACATACTAGTTTCAATTTGTACCTGCAGAAAGACAGCAGTACATTCATCTATTGTCAACACAACGTATCGATCTGTACTTCCAAAGAGCCTTAAGGAGTAACTACTGCTTCTTTCAACAAAGGTAATGCTGTACCTGAAGAAGTCAAATTATTTCATTAAATCTTAGTTAAGTAAAATGATAAGACTTTCTTAAAAGAAATTAATAACATACATCTCTTTATATATACTTTTAAATCACAGTCTTTTCATACCTTGATCTTTCTCAAATGCTCAAGCTCACTTTAAGACACATTCAAAGAGTACGCATCAATGTAGCAGTGACTTAATGAAATATTACTGGATTAATTCAATTATGTTGCTTACTGCACCAAGTATGACCTTAATGTACAACCTTTGAGTTTACAAAAAAAGACGTAATACAGAAACTAAGATAAATCAAGAAAAGATACTTAGATACCCCTTTTGAGGAATTAAATGAACATTGCATTTCTTTTCTTCCTTTCTTGATTGTGTAGCACAGGGAAAACAAACTGAGTGAAAAGACTGCTACTGGTTATGATCCTAAACGTTTCTGTGTGAAGGAGAACTGCCAGCAGCACAGCCTCCTGTTACAAGCTGTGAGGCAAAGAGTCACTGAGTGAACACCACATGCTCAGGCCTTTAGGAGAGTCTTGGCTGACTAAGTGGGGAAGTTGAGAACAATCGTCACACTGCTTGGCCTCATCCCTGGAAAACACAAGAGACCTAAACCTGAATCTGCCAGGAGAAAGTCCCATATAAACTTGCATCGTGTATTCAGACATTAACGAAAAAGTGAACTATAAGCTTTTCTGAAACCATACAGCTCTTTGCTCACCTATTTAGTCACTTAGTGCTAAACAGAGCTATCACTTAGTGCTAAACAGAGCTAGTGAGAAAGTCCTAAAAAGAATTCCTTACTATTTAGTTTAAAAGTACATGTCAAACTAAATGTTCAAATTTGAAATGTAAAATTTTAAAATGTTTTTTCCTATTGAACTGCAATTAGACACAGCTCAAAAATGGCTTCACAGCTGATGATGATACAGCAAGGATAGAAACTAGCACATTTCTTCAGCAATATGGTGAAATTAACCATCTGTATCTCTGGCACTATGTTTAAGAGATGTTGCTGCTCTGTCCCCTATTTCTTTCTTTCTTTTTTTTTTCTTGTGATGAAAGCTACTTTTCTAAGGTATTTATTATTGTGAAAAGCAAAATGCAAAAAAAATGATGTTTAATAAAATAATGCACATGTGGAATGATGTACAAACATGAAAATTTCTGTACAGGTTAAAGAGTATTAAAAATTAAGTGAATACTAGACCTGAATTTTACAAATAAAGTTGTTTTTATTTTTAAGCTATCCTCTTCCAAAAGCTGTGATGCATCAGAAAATTAGTTTTAGCATAACTCTGGTAGTTAAAACACAAAAAAATCCAAAAGCAAATTTTAGGGATAATGAAATACAAAGTCTTTCAAGTATCAGGAAGCATGAAAGCAAAAGATATTTGGGGGTAACATTATGATTCTCAGGGAAAAGTAGACAATGAAAAAAGTTGTTTTGATTAGAAGTACCAGCTTATCATTGAAATAAACAAATGGCCAATTCCACTCTGGTTGACATCTGCGTGAGCCTACACAATTAAGCTATCATCAAATTCAGCAGAAAAATTATCTTCTTGTCCCTTAAAATGCTAATAGTGTAACTGCAGTGTTGTACCTGATAGCCAAGAAGATGGCTACTACATGATATAGTAGGACAAGACACATGTCTTGGAAAACTGAAAATAAACAGTCAATGAGATTAAATAGGTTATTTTCACTTACTTGGATTCCAAAAGCTGAAGAATATCTGGCATATTAAGAAGACCTTCAGTTGTCAGAAATACATATGGAATCTGTACCTCCAGAAGAAAGGAATCACTGTAATTCCCTGAAACATTTTGTATATGTAAGATAATAGTTTCATAAGTAAAAAAACTAAACATACATTTAGGTATTTAAATAGATATATATTTTAAAAATGCAGCTTTTATTCATCCCCATTAAAATGTTTCCATTATATGTTTTTTTCTTTTTTTTTTCAAAACTACACGCTTCTGAATCTCTGAAATTAGGTTTTAATTTATATTCCTTTAGATGTCCAGCAATGTTCTGTTAGGATGAGGAAAGGTGGATACAGCCTGTAGCAACTGTAAACAACCTGTGAACTTTGCACAAGTCTTCTATCAACCAACATTTAGTACTGCATCCTGGCCAAAACCCAGCCCAAGCTCTAAGAAAAACACCTTCCTCTCTTGCTGTAAAGATAAACCAGCTGTTTGCTTGACTTAACCTTCATAATTTATAGCTTATTCTCTTCCACAGGCACATGAATGTAGCATTTTATGGAACAGAAAATGCTTGCCTTTCATATGCCGGCCCAATTGTTTATTCCAATTCTGGAGGGCACTCACCTACTTGTATTGTTCCAGGGATGGTGGTTTTAAAAGTCATGTAAGTAACATTCAGATTTTTGCACAGATTTTTCCAGCAAGAATTTTCAGAATAGTCATATTCCATTACTAATGAGAACTGTGTCCAAGGGAAGTCAGGTCCAATTTGCAGATTATGTACAATAACACAGGAATATCTATTAAGGCTTAAAAAACAACGAAACATTAATAAAATTAAGGTCAGATAGAATTACCATCAGAACAAAATAAACACATTTTTCCTTTGAAGAATTATCACTGTTTAAACTCCTTTTACAAAAAAAGAATTTCCTCTTCTTGAATTTAAAACTGTAATTTCTTTCAAAATTAATTTTAAAATTCAAAGCTGTAGTTTCCCTCCTCCAATTATTTTCTTGAAGTATTCATATTTTCCTGCAACATCGTAATTTGACATACTTTCTGTTTTATGCCTTTTCCCCCCATCTCCTTCTAAAACATGCAAACCAAAACAAAAAGTTAAAAACATGCAACTGAAGTATTCTAAACTTTCCTCAAAGCCTCACAGCATTCCTCCAAGCATTTTACTAGAGGGTGGACAAATGTTTCCCCTCCCAGAATGAAGCTGTAGATCCATATTCTGAAATTTTTACTCCAGGTTGGAAAGTCCCATGGAAATGGACAGAAGTGACAAAAGTTTCACTGACATTAGTAAAGATTTTGTTTTCAAAAACCAAGAATTTAACTTACCTTCTTATGATATCTTTACAGCCTAAAAAGGGTCCTTTTTTCTCATAATTAAAATCTATCGTTTTTAAACCTGCATAAAGGATTAAAGACTTAATCAAACAAATAAGCCTCTACGGTATGAATCAATGCAAAGCAGTAAGCAGCAGATGTGGAACAACACAGGATATTAAAATTTTATGTATTACATTGTCTGCCTTGATGAAGTCTTACACAATTTCAGTTTGTGTTGCACTAACGGGTTTAATCATTTAGAAATTTCAATTTTTAACCCAAGGAAGAAGCAGTGTGAAGAAGTAATGTGAATAAGTTTCATGCTTCAAACTCACAATCAGATTACCTTAAAATAAAAAAATTGAAGGCTAATGCAAAAGGAAGCATCTTTATAACTTTATAATTTAAATTCCTTTACATGTTCTGTATACTTCAAGTTTCAAAAGTATGACTGGAAGATGTAGCTAAAAAGGCATATTTGTATAACACAAATGTCTCTCCAAAAGTTTAGTTAGTTGGATTGACCTGTGTTTGCAACCAAGTCTTAAGATCTTAAAACGCATAAAATACTTTTCATTAAATATTATTATTAGTAAAAGCATTGTGAACATGCCTCCTCCCTTTCAAAACATTCTAAAAGACAGGCTTTTTTCTTTTAAGAGCACAGGAAATTTAACTTTATTTTTAAAGGCAAAAGAACCATGCAATACATGACACTCTTGATAAGGTTCAAGCAAGGAGTTACAAAAATGGGTTTTAAAAAGCGATATGAAAGGAATCGGTGGCTTGCTCTAAACATAAGTACAGGCTCAAATAACAATCTTCCTGAAACATGTTTCTTTTACTAGCTGAATCAGAGATGTTGAACAAGCTTGTGCAAAAATTACAGGTAAAATGATGAATTAATTAAAGTGTTGCTTACATCAGTGGGGTGAAAGACAGGATATAGAAAACTATTTTTTTTTCCCTTGAGTTTAATACATTACTGCAGCTTATGCTTACACATTTAGCAAAGGAGAAAACAAGGTCAGCAACAGACAGTTAAGGGAAGTCATGATCTGTATGTAACTACTTGTTCCAGGTTTTATGCTAGAGATCTTAGTCAAGACTTCTAAATTCTTAATAAACTTGCAAGAAAGAGAACTTGTGAGCACCAATCAGCTAAAACAAAGAGAAAATCTGTCCAAGACAACAGAAGCAATTATAATTAGGCAATTGGCTACACATATATTTGCGTTATGTTAAATAAATCTTAGACTTGACAGATGAAACTTCAATCTCTTGCAACAGAAAACATCATACTTGAACTCTTAATCAGAGGAAAATAAAATTCCAAGAAAGAAGAAAGGGTTGTAAAAGAGTTAGGAAACAAACAGTGTGAAATGTTATAGAAAGGTTCCTGATGAGAAAAAAAGGGAGAGACATCTGCAAAACCCATACAAAGAGGAATGCAGCAAAGCACAGAATAACAGCCAAATTTTCTTTCAAAAATAATTATTTACCTTTTACTCTAGACAAAGCATGAATGAGGTCAGCCTTTTCTCTCTCAGAGTCCATTCTTGTAATGATTAGTATCTGGATGAAGACAAGTATAAGAAACTGTAGTACTGTAAAAAATTTGTTCTTTTATCCTGCACACATTTTTCTTTCTCATTTGCACAGAAAGCACTAGATTGACTAAGCAGGTAGCAGAAATGGAAATCTCAGAATTTTCCAGAATGACAATCATAAAATACCTCAAGTAGGATGAGATTTATAAGGATCATCAAGTCAAACTCCCTGCTCCTTGCAGGACTACCGAAAACTAAACACATGACTAACAGCATCATTCAGATGCTCCTTGAACTCTGACAGGCTTGATGCCATGACCATTTCCCTGGGGAGCCGGTTCCAGTAACTGACCACCCTCTCAGTGAAGAACCTTTTCCTAATGCCCAATCTGAACTTCCCCTGAGGCATCCTCATTCCGTTTCCTCCTGTCCTCTTGCTGGTCACCAGAGAGAGGAGATCAGCATCTCCCCATCCGTTGCTCCCTTTCACAAAGCTGTAGACTGCAATGAGGTCAACCTTCAGCCTTCTCTTCTCCAAGTGACCTCAGCTGCTCCTTCTAAGTCTTGCCTTCGAGGTCTTTCACCAACTTGGTGGCTCTCCTGTGGACACAGTCTAATAGCCTTGTACTCCTCTTATATTGAGATGCTAAAACTGCACACAGCGCTCAAGGTGGGCTGTATCTGTGCAATGTAGAGTAGGACAATCACCTCCCTCAACCAACTAGCTATGCTGTCCTTGACGCACCTCTGGATATGGTTGGCCTTTTGGCTGCCAGGGTACACTGTTGACTTATATTCGACTTGCTATCAAACCACACCCCCAGATTTCTTTCTGCGGGGCTGCTCTCCAGCCTCTTGTGCTCCTATTTATATGTATAACAAGGACTCTACCATCTCAAGTGGAAAATTTGGCACTTGCTCTTGTTACAGTTGGTGATTGCCCAGCTCTCTAGCTTGTCCACATCTCTCTGTAAGGCCTCTCCACTGTCAAGGGAGATCACAGCTTCTCCTAGTTTAGCATTGTCAGCAAACTCACTTAATGGACATTTGATTTCTGCATTCAAATGATTTATAAAACCATTAGAGAGCACTGGCCCTAAAACTGAGCCCTCAGAAACTCCACTGGTGACTGGCCCCAGTCTGACATAACCCCATCTACTATAACCCTCTGAGCCTGACCTGACAGCCAATTGCTCAGCGTATTAAGGACTTGTCTAGCTGCGTGCTTGACATCTCGCCTAGAAGAATCTTATGACAGATGGCATCAAAAGCTTTGCTAAAATCCAAACCCATCACGTCAACTAGATGTGTGACTTTGTCATAAAAGGAAATTAAGTTAGTTAAGCAGGACTTTTCCCTTGTGAACCTGTGCTAGCTATGACCAATGACAATATTGTCTCTCAAGTGTTCTTCAGTAACTTCTAAAATAACCTTCTCCATAATTTTACCAGGCACTGAAGTGAGACTGACAGGTCTGTAATTATGAGGGTCTTTCTTCTTTTCTTCCTGAAAATTGGGACATTTGCCAGCTTCCAGTCAACTGGGACCTCTCCAGACTTCCAAGACCATTGAAAAATAACGGCAAAAGCTCCTGCAATGACACTAGCCAGCTCTTTCAGTATGCTGAGATGAATCCCATCAGGCTCCATATATAAACATTCAGCTGGAGCAGCACATCTCAAACAAGCTCAGGGTTGGCTGGGCATTTATCATTGCCCCAGTCACAGTCTTCCAGCACAGGGCTCTGTGGGCCTCAGGTCCCACTGTTGACGTGGTCGCAAACACGACAAGAAAAACTTATCTACATGGTTGCAGATGAGCAGGCACTTCTTTATTTGTAGCACTGGGGAACACATAGGAAGACCCTCAAATTGTGTTCCCCAGTGCTGCAAATTGTCGTAGTGAATTCATACACCTTGTTAACAGCTTTAAAAGAAAGTTATCGGTGGTTTACAGTGCTTGATCTGAAAGATGCCTTCTTTTGCATCCCTTTGGAAAAGGAAAGTTGTAAACTGTTTGGTTTTGAGTGGGAAGACCCACAAACAGGATGTAAGATACAATTAACATGGACACGGCTACCGCAAGGATTCAAAAACAGCCCCATGATTTTTGGAAAACAACTGGCAAAAGAGTTGGAAGCGTGGACTAAAGAAAAGACTGTGACTCTCAGACCAGAATATCTACTCCTACAGTATGTAGATGACATTCTAACAGCTGCAGAACTAAAACCAGCTTGCATACAGGTAACCATTGAACTTTTAAACTTTCTGGGAATGAATGGGTACAAAGTATCTAAGAAAAAGGCCCAAATCGCGAGTGAAGTTGTGGTCTGTTTGGTCTTTGAAATCTCAAGAGGACAACGACAGCTGGGGATAGACCAAAAAGAAGCTATTTGTGCTATTCCAGAACCTCAAAATGTGCATGAATTAAGAGCATGCCTGGGCATGACAGGATGGTGCAGGCCTTGGATCATGAACTATGGTCTAATAGCCAAGCCATTATATGAGGCCCAGAAAGCTGCTCCTTTTGTGTGGGAAAAACCACAGCAAGAAGCTTTCCGAAAATTCAAGGAGGCTCTGATGAGAGCACCAGCTCTTGGCTTACCAGATTTGACTAAAGACTTTCAATTGTTTGTCCATGAGAGACAGCACCGAGCCTTAGGAGTCCTGACACAGAGGATGGGAAGCTGGAAAAGACCGGTGGGATACTTCTCCAAACAATTGTACTCAGCAAACAAAGGGTGGCCTTCTTGTTTGCGGGCAGTCACTGCAACTGTAATACTGATACAAGAGGCGAGGAAATTGACTCTGGGAAGAACTATCACAGTTTATGTCCCACACATGGTAACAACAGTTTTGGAGCAAAAGGGGGGTCATTGGCTATCCCCTAGCAGAATGATGAAATATCAAGTAATACTTACTGAACAAGATGATGTAGTTTTGAAAACCGCTAACTTTGTGAATCCTGCAGTGTTTTTGAATACTCCACAGGAAGAGCAGCAGCTGGAGCATGACTGCATTGTAACCATTGAGCGTACATACTCCAGTAGAGAGGATCTGAGAGATGTACCCCTTGAGAAGCCAGACTGGGAACTATTTACAGACGGCTCCAGTTTCGTCTTGAATGGAACCCATTACGCTGGATATGCGGTAACAACTGAAAATACAGTGGTGGAGGCACATGCACTGCCTACCACAACCTCTGCACAGAAAGCAGAATTGATTGCATTAGCCCGAGCCTTGGAACGAAGTAAAGGAAAGAAAGCTAACGTATGGACTGACTAAATATGCCTTTGGTGTAGTTCATGTCCATGGGGCCCTGTGGAAAGAAAGAGGACTACTGTCCTCACAGGGAACACAATTTGAGGGTCTTCCTCTGTGTTCCCCAGTGCTGCAAATAAAGAAGTGCCTGCTTATCTGCAACCTTGTAGATAAGTTTTTCTCATCGTGTTTGCAACCACGTCAACACCACCATCAGCGTTGATCATCAGAGAGAGGTTAAGTAAGCATTAAACATCTCCACTTTGTCCACATCCTTATTTGTGAGGTGAATGACCTCGTCAAGCAACAGACCAATGTTATATCTCATTCTCCTTTTGCTGCTAACATATTTTAAATAGCCCTTTTGTTGTCCTTCACAGTGCTGGCCAGCTGAAACTCTAATTAAGCTTTGGCCACATGAATTTTCTCCCTACTCTGGTGAACACCATCTCTCTAGTCCTCCCATGTCACCTGTGCTTGCTTCCAACATCAGTATACTTCCCTTTTCTGCCTAAGTTCTAGAAGAAAATCCCTGCTTAGCCAAGCTGGCCTTCTGCCCCTCTTGCTTGTCTTTGGACACTTTGGAATTGCCTCCTCCTGCACTCTTCAGAGATGGCTCTTAAAAAGTGACCAGCATTCCTGGACCCGAATATCTTCAAAATCAGAGTCCTAGGGGACCTTACCAACTAGCTCCTTCAGCAGCCTCAAGTCTGCTCTCCCCATATCCAGGGTCATAGCTTAGCTGGACATTTTTTTCCTATTGCCAATGATTTGAAACTCAGGAGGATATATGTGTTATTACAAGACTTGGAGAAAACAATATTACAGAATATATCAGTATCCGAATTCAGATTTGTGAATAAAGCTGTTCTAGAAGAAATGCTAAATTGGAATATTTGATTCAAAGTAAAAATGCTATTTAAAGATAATATCTAAAGACATTATACCACATTATTACTGTTGCACTAGACGTATTACTACTGTCACATTAGAGGCTTAATCCCTATGGAGGCAAACCTTAAAATGAAGATAAGTAGAATTCAGCCTGCAAGATGGTGATGGAGGGAGGTATTAGATGTACTGCTGAACTAATCAGACAGATTTTCCAGACCATAGATGGACTACATAGAAGTGTTCCTGGCAGAGATCACTTATCTCTGAGACTCAGCTAAATACTGCTCAAGGTGAAATAGTTGAAAAAGATTGGAAACTTCAAAACTGGCATAGTTTTAAAAAGAATCATTACCAGAGAAGGTGTTTACTTTGTCCACCATTTCAAAGATGTTCAGAGCTCTTAGTGTAACTCTTAACAGAAACAAAGGAAGAAGAAATGTTCAGGAAGGGAAGTATGGAAAGTTAAAATAAATGGAAATAAGCTTGAAGATTCTTTTTTTTTGTTGTGTGTTCAGCAGCATAAATTCTATTCCAGACAGTCAGGACACTTAAAAAATGGTATGCTTTATCCCTTCTGTTTCCCTTACTAGGGAAACAAAACCACCTGCAACAAGATGACGCCCTGGCAATGTTAAAACTCATATGCACATTTTTTCAGTCATGCCACAAGGGGAGATTTGATGAAACAGAAACCTGCACTGCTCTTAATAGAGGTCTTAAACTTTATGTTACCCGTATTTAACAGATACTTTGAGTGGGAAAGGTAATTATAACACTTTCTTCCATAAACCAGTGCTTGTTGAAAGGCGGTTTTATAATTATTCATGTAGTTTGAGGCAGTTTTGTTTGGTCAGAAAAATTGTTTACATTGTTAACCTTAACACTGTGTTCCTCTCCATAACTTTGCATCCAATTTAACATTTGACACTGAAGCGCTGCTATTTTGGGATTTGTTTCATGCTTTTTCTGGCTGCTGTACTGAACAATCTTCAACTGCCTCCAGATGTTATTCAAACAGGATTCGAAGATGTTTTTATAGATATCCTTTGCCTTGGACAAATAACCTGTTAATAAAGCAACAAAAGAAGTAATTGTAGTTAAAAACGATAATTGCCAAGATTTGGCAACTTAAAATTTGTATCTTGCACAAAAGGGATAAAAATGGAATGGCTCACCAATATGTAAGGATCCTATTCCTACTAATCAGATACATAAGTGGCCTTTATAAAACTGCTATACCTCCTGTAGTACCTGCCATATAACTTTAGCTACTACTATAGAACACTTCAATTTAACTAGTCTATATAGTTTATACGAAGTATCAGATTTATTTATACTCCCACTGTCCAGAGCTTTACTTGTCCTGTGTTTTCACCACTCTTCACATTGTCACAGCTATTTCTCGACTCTGAATTATGCCTTTTGTGGTGAACAATGCTTGGGTTATTTGAAAATGGATAAATGAAAAATACCTCTAAGACAACAATGTGATGAACGACACAGCACCACATCACAACAGTGAGGACTACAGGGCCTACTTAGTATCTGGCTCAATTTTCTGCTTTTTTTCAGGTCTTTTTTACTTGTGCAGTTTCTTGTGTGAGGTGCTGCTGGGATCGAGGAGAGGTGCTGTGTAATTCTGAAATATCATCTGGGAGTGATTTTGCTACCATAGAACAAAGGAGGAAGAACTACTCATTTGTCTTCCTCCCATGCTGCTATGTTGCTTACAGTAATTGTAGAAAAGAATTCTACTTAGGATTCCACTTACACACTCATTCTGTACTTTTATTCACATTTTTTTATTGCTCGAAACATTTAAGTGAATACAAAATATTTTGTTTTACCCATCATTCCATTTATGGCAGATGTTTTCCATTTTACATCAATTTTAAGGAAACAATCTCCATCAATGGATAATTCAGAGTGACTAAAGTTAAATGCTCTGAACTGCCTTATCTCCTACAAAGACAGATGGAGCCTGACTTTCCTAGAGCATTCATAAGAGCTAACTTCAACTCCTTAAAAATCTATTCCAAAAGATCTACCTGAAAATTCACAATACACAACTATGGGAACTTGACAAGTGTGGCATTATCATTTCAGGCATAAAATTGGGTTAAAACAAATTTTTCATATTTCAAAGCTGAATAGCATAAGACCAGAAAAGCTAAAAAAAGTCCCAAACATCTTAGGAGTCCAGTGCTAAGAACTGGACTGTAACTTCAAAATCTTTGTCTTGTTAGATAATATTCCAAATTTTGCTTAAAATGTCCTTCTTTTAAAGTACTTAATTTCTGAGGAACCTAAAAGCCACTAAGATGATGAGGGGACTGGAGCCTCTCTCATATGAGGAAAAGCTGAGAGAGATGGGACTGTTTAGCCTGGACAGGAGGTGGCTGAGAGAGGATCCCATCAATGCTTATAAATACGTAAAGCATGGGTGTCAGGATGATGGGACCAGACTCTTCTCAGTTGTGCCCAGCAACAAGACAAGGGACAATGGTCACAAACTGGAACACAGCAGGTTCAACTTAGACATAAGGAAAAGCTTCTTTCCTGTGAGAGTGACAGAGCACTGAACAGGCTGCCCAGAGAGGTTGTGGAGTCTCCTTCTCTGGACACATTCAAAACCCGCCTGGTTGTGTTTCTCTGTGACCTACTCTGGGTGATCCTGCTCTGGCAGGGGGGTTGGACTGGATGATCTTTCGAGGTCCCTTCCAGCCCCTGCCATTCTGGGATTCTAAGAATATTTTCAGGTGGAAATTGTGCCACACTCACTGGAGGTCGATTGTAAATAACAAAGGACATGCCATTTTTGCATGTTTCTCAGTTTCCACACAGAGTTTCCAATGAAAATTAGTCATTCTGAGACACAACACAAGATACATTTGGAAGTTCATAGGAATGTTAGGCAAATCCATGTGACAGCATTAACAGTATTAGTAATGAACTTAGCATATATACTACCAAAGTACAATCTACAGTGGATTAATTTCTAATGGACAGAAATAAGGAAGCATAGGTGGCTGAACATCGTATTGAAGCTATGCAGGAGGTGCACTGATGACAAAGAATCACAGCCTGCAAGCATGAAGGATGGACTGCAGAATACACACAAAGCATTTGGTTTCTTCACTACTAAAAACAAACCTAGTGCTGTGTCCAAGCCACACGTTAATAGAAGATCTCGAACTGTCACTAGCAGGTGCACCAAAGCAGCATGTCTGAACAGCCTGATCTCCTTCTCATCCATTTTACCTTTATAAATAGAAGACACAGCTGTCGTCTGTATAACAGTTCAGAAATCATGCTATACCTATATAATCAGTTTTAAAGATGTTAGTATTTCAGAATTTTCATTAAACATGCTTACACAGGCATAATCTTGAGAGGTCAGATCTGCTGATCTTGGTAAATAGTTTATGATATAGGATAGCTTTTCCCATGTCATCTGACCCAGAGCAAGTGGCACACAGGGAGGTGGTTTTGAAAGCTGTGTAGCGATAGAAGGTGCTTGCCGGAAGAGGGGATAACACTTCCCTTAGGTGTGCCATTAAATCCACACAGCCTTCCTGATTTTAGTAAGGCAATCTTTAAATAAACACGGAAATTGATACATTTCCCATCTTTTTGTCCGTTATACAAGCCCAGCTGTTCACATTACTATTTCCTCCTCTGACTAGTCAAATCACCAACTATTCCAGCAGCACTGTAACTCCATCTAACCAGCTTTCCAAACATTTCAGAACTCTTTCCAAGAAATCAAAATGGCAGATTATCCACTAATCAATAAGCAATTTTAAAGCAGGGATAACCTCAAATTAAGTTTTTCACAGAAGATTTTAAACAAACTCTAGACTACGAAAACCACGTTTGTTATGGCAAATTATTTGGACCCAGCCAGTCTTCACACACATAATGAGAAAAATTCTTATTGTCTTCCAGTAATGATCCATGTAGTCGTAACTTCTTGACATCACCTTCCCCACACCTCATTAGCCTCTCCTGATGAGAATCTTAACCTTATTTGAGGAGGTAAAGTTGGCGGTCTTCTGTTTCTTCTTTGACCCACAAAGTAAATAAAACAATTCAAGTGCTACCTATTCTGTATTATGTACCCATTTTGAAGAAATCTTCAAGGACTTGACTGAACAGGAAGGAATTACTAGAAGAAGGAAGGCATTTTTGGGAACTGCACACAGGGAGTAGTGTAGTTCATTATCTTAAGAAAGGAAATAGGTGATTGCTGCAGAGTGAGTGGACTTAATAATAAAAAACATACTTCAAGAGGCTAAAAATGGTTGAGGAAGAGAATTAAAGAATAAGTGAAGACAGCTGATCAAGAAATTATTGAACGAGATGCATTATACAAGCAAAACATTAGCTCAACACAGCTTTTAATTAGAAAAAATAAGTGAAGCACTTAGAAAGGAAAAATCAGTCTTATGAACATGGCATGCAGAAGAATTATCTAGAAACAACATATATTTTGTATATATCTGTATCAAAAGACAGAGAGTGACTTCCATCTGTCAGTGAAGGTGCTGAAACTTAAGGACTATGTCCAGTTCTTGAGACCACTCACCATAAAAACTCAGTGAGGAACACAGGTCATTTAGAAACAAAGCCAGGAAGTAAGAAACCATGTTATCATGAAAGATTGGAGCATTTGGTGATATTTAGTGCAGAAAGAAAAGATCAGCAGAGGAATAATAATCTTCTAATATCATCATAGTAAGTGATTGTTTCCTATGTTCACTGGGGGGATTAAGGAGAAAATGAATCAGCACACACTGGAGTAAAGTGGAACGAGATTGGATATCGTGAAACTATTTAAAACCAGGAAGGCAATAAAAGAATTAAGCGAGTTACCATGGAGATTTTGGAATCTCCTACATAGTTGGAGAAATACTCATTAGGAATGGATTGCATACGTGAGAAACCAAATTCATACGGATAATTTTCCTTCTCATTTCTAACATAGGCTTAGCATCATAGAGTAGCAATAGCTACTAAAAGGAATGAAACAACAGAAACACAGACAGCTTCTAATTTTAAAATCTAGAATGAAAAAATAATGTAAATATTGTCTGACATAGAAGCCATATTTCTGAAGCCATCTAAAATACTTTAAAATTAAATTCAATTAGAATACTTTTTGTATGACAATATTCACATTCATAAATGTAACGCTGAAGGAGATATTATTTCGGAAATAAAAGAGGAAATCAATTACTGTAACTTTACAATGTAAACTGCTGAAAGTTTTATCATTAAATCATCAAACAGCTTGAACCTTGTGACAACAACTAAATCTGTATTAGTACTAAAGAAGGAAAAACCATTTTTTTAAAAAAAGACATACCTTCTTTAAAATGACTGCATATCGCTTTCTCTTGCTGTTTTAAGAAAAACCTTGTGTGGTCGTGTTTAACCCTGTCAAAGCTCCAATGTACAGAAGCAAGTACACCCAGATGCATCAAATCTTTTAGAACAGGAGTGGCTGCTTCTTCCAGGAGGCAGTGTGCCTGGCACTGGCTTTCTGGACAGCACAATAAGCAAAACATAATAATAAAGTTTGGTTTTATATACCACTACCGGACAAGCATATTTGAAAGAGTTACCAAAACACAAGCAACACTGGCTTCTTTGTGAAAGCCCTAACATTAATCGAAAAGCTAGGCAGCCTCCTGGGTAGTGGAATTAAGTTGATTCTCACAGAAGTGGACCACGTTATTCCATGTTATTGTTATGAAGTTTTACCATGTTGTTTCATAAAGTGATTGAACCCCAGAATGAAAAATTGGGATTTCCTGCTCCTGTGACTAAGATTGTACTGTTATTCCACTGTTCTACAGCCTTTGTTTACTTTGTAGTCTAAACTTAGTCCCTCTCTATCTACTTGCTACTTCAACTGAAACAGTCCTTCTCCTGGTATTTAACTGGAAGCTGAAACTCTTCCATAGCCATCAACAAGGTCAGAACTCTGTGATTCTTCATTTTCGAAGATTTACTACTACTTTTCAGAAATAATTTCAACTGACCTATACAAACTCTTTGACTAGTATTTGACTTAGCTTCACTTGGTCAACACACTATTTCATAAGAGCAACGAATAACTTCAACTTCTCAGGCATTCTGGAAAAAGGTTTATTATTCTGTTTAGTTTTTCAGCCTTTATGGAAATAGGTCAGATACTATAGTATTTTGGATGCTTATTGTATAACTTCATCCAGGCGTTTCTGTACTACTATACAATTTTATTTTTAAAGTGTATTTCTAATCATGCATCTTCAATGTACTGCTGCTAAGTAAGATAGTGTGAATCTTCTAATCTCTGCTTCGGCTACAGCTCAGTTTTGAGGAAGTTGTCTTTCCTTCCTGTGCAAGGCCACCCTGATGAACCACATTTTATTTCAAGGACTGCAATAGGATATTCAGTCTCAACAAATAATAACTTTGCAAAATGCTAAGTTTTTGTTTTGACTGCAGAAAAGCTTTAATTTTGTTCCAGTTGCATTAAAGAAGTCTTGCTTCAAAATTTATTTAAAAAAATAATTACAAAATAAGCTTATAGTTGTTACATGATTGCCATCTCAGAGGGGAAGAGATGAAAACACTGCTTTCACATATGTCTTTCACTGGTTCTGTGAAACAGACTCCCACATTAAGCACAGGGTTGGAGTGAAAGCATTTCTGGGGAAAATTAAACTAATTTGTGCTAGGTCTACAACTTTCTTGCACTGTGTATGCTTATTTTGAGGCTGTAAAGTGTCTTGGATAAATATCTTCTAGGTTCCTCTCTACCACTTCTACTGCATGACAAAAGTCTTTAGTCTTAAGACAGTATTCTGTACCCTGCTCCCACACCTGTGTCAAAATAAGTATCCCATCTATTTAGAATGTTTTCAGTCACGTGGAGCATAGGCTAAGCCCAAAAGTTTCCATACTTGTCTGAGTAGTACAATTTCATATAAAATTATATTGCAAAAGTATATAAAATAAAGCATATCCAAAACCAGTATACCTGATGCTTGAATATCAACTGTGACACTGTCCTCATTCTCTTGTTTTTTTCCCTCTATTCTCACAGTCTCACAAGCAGAACTTTCCTCTTCACGAGCAGGCATATGCTGTTCTTCAGGCTGTAGCACTAAATCATTAAACCACATGTGATTTAAGCAGAAACATCACAAAACTAGCTCAGTAAATAAGAAAACTGTTCCATAATGACTCTGCATGCAAAAATGTTTTCAAATTACATAGTTTCTATGACACATTTTCTTTTCCTGAACTTCTTTATTCTTCGCATGGGCTCACATAGTATGGAAATACCATCAAGACTCAGAGAGACACGAGGCGCTGTCAGCCTTTACAGCCCCACAAGTCAGGTATTACCAGGTTCCTCCTCCTCAGGGCAGAATTACAGAGCTGGGAAAATTAAGAAGCTGGTACGATAGCTCTATAATATAGCTCCATGGGAAAGCTCATATGCCTTTATATGGAGAAAAAAATACTTGTGAGAGGAAAGATGCTGCTGGCTGTAAGGAGATCAAACTATGAAAAATATCTCAGTGAGTGTGAGTAGAAAAGGTTAAATACTGTAAGGGACCCAGAAGGAACATGGAAGCTGAAAATGGTGGGGGGGAGGGGGGGGGAGGGGAAGAAGAACTGCTTATTGAATAATAATTTTTCTCCAGTCTTATAGCTATCTTTTGCAACTGGTTAGCATTTCTAACTCTCCTTCCCTTCTTCCTTGTAAGTACTGATGCATGATCTACAGCTTCTGCCCACAGAGCTTTGGTTGTGACCTACGCCTCTTTAATGTTGAGAAGGGTTCTGGCTGAATAGGTGTCTCCTGAATATTGCTGATTTTTCCTAGCTTCCTCACAAAACAAACTGAACATACAGAGACAGAAAGAAAAGGAAAAAATAATTTTTTCCTACATAAGTTAAAAAAACCTGATTTTTAAGACCTATCCAGGATTCAAAACTAGATCAATAAACTGTTTCTGCTACTTCCCACTTGTCTATTTTCTGAACTAAATATTATACAAAAGGAGATATTTAAAAAATAAGCCAAACAACATAGACAATAGAGAAAGAGCCCTACAAGCAGTGCTGACATTTCTTATGTTCAGTTAAGTTTAGCACCACTCTTAATAAAAACATTTCAGTGTTACAAAAGGTATACAATAATTTACATCATTTCTACATCAGTGTGGCAAGACCTACACATTTTAATGGGTTCTCCATACACCAGAAATAACTGATCTGCAACTCTGGTGGCTGCCTGTAAACATATTCTGAATTGTTAAACCTCCATAAGCCTATTCGTAAATGTAGCATAGTTTGTTCTTAAGTGCATCTGGATTTCTCGTTAGCAGATGCAGTTCTAGCCAGAGCCCAGTAGATGGTAGCATAAAACTTCAGTTCAGGTACCTCGATGTCCTTTTAAAATTGCCGTTGTTTTGAGGCCGTGGAAGTGCTTTATGCATCTCTACCACTTGTCAGAAACAGCTGTATTTTACCAGTAAATAATTTCCTTCACAAGATTACAGGCGCTTGCAATTAAATAAATATCCAAATTCTATTCTATAGGAATGATTGCTGAAGGCTTTTACGTAGCAATTCTAATTTTTTATGTTTTTATTTTTTTTTTTTTGTAAAAGCTGGGACATATAACTTAAACACAGATCAAATTATTGTCAAAATTCTGCCATACAAGCCCCCCAAAAAAGAAAAATATTCCTTTTTACTACAACTTTATCCTGAAAAGCGAATTTGGAAATATGTCACTGTCTCCCAATATCTTGTGTCACAAATATTGATTTTTTAAATCAAATAGGGTATTTCTTCTACTTTTTTTTCCATCTCTCTATTTTTGCATTTCTGTAATGCTCAACACATAGCCTGAAATGCTTTCATAAGCTTTGTCATCAGCAAGAATAGGACTGCCAATACCTTTCTTTTTTCCCTAAAACCTCTTCTGCCTCACTCTTCTATGGGGTTTGCATCAAGGTAACTGGCTCAAATAGCTCTTTCCAGAGAAGAACTTTAAGTCTTCTTCATTGTCTAAGCTATGTTGTATTGATAATTGTATTGATTGTTACTATTAGTTACTACTACTATTTGATAACTACAATTGTAACTACTATTTCTCCAAAGAGGCCAGGAGATCTTATTCAGAACATATGGACAGAAGAGATCATCTGGAGTAAGTACCATTTAAAGTCACTTTGTCAGAATAGGATTAAACTCGTGTATTTATTCATAGAAAACACTCCCAACACCCAAAAATCCCCCAAACTGAAAACCAAAGCACACCCTCAACCAAAACAAGCAAACAAAATCCCTAAGATAGCTAAAGGATAAAACAGAAGGTAAGATCCTTAGCTGAAAATTCAGCTACATTAAAAATCATAAAAATGTTATCATTCACTTTGGAGGACTTTTTCCCCCCTCTAATCTACTAGCATGAGCTAGCATCTATCGTAACTGGTATAGGAGAGCAGAATTAAGCTTGAAAAAATGTCAGAGTAAACTGGTTCACGTACCTTTTTCAGCACTGTCTACACCATTTGTTTCATCTCCTTGTGGGAGTGTGTGATTAGATCTCAGCATGATAAAGCTGCTCAGATCAGAATCATCATTGTCCCATTTTGCAGCAAGTGCCAATGATGCAGACTTCTGGCTACTGGCTGAGTTTTCTTGTTTAGAAGACATATCTTTACAGCTGAGTGATTCAGCTAATTTGGGCGTTTTCTTTTCTTGGTTTAAGAAATAAATTGCACCTTCTACCTTATTCTTTTTGATGCTTCCTCCAGTAAGCTCATCCACAGATGCATTTGGACTGTGAATTTTGGCAGATGACGCAGCATTCCTATGCAGGGCAAAGTTCTGCCCTTGAGTTTGTAGTGACACATAAGGATTAACTACTGTATTCGATTGACGTCCTTCAGCAGAAAGTAGCTCCTGGTTTGTCACAGAAGTCTTCTCTTCAAGCCATCCTAAAAAATCAAAAATAATATTTAATTTCTTCACCGCGATATAGATTTTTTTCTTTTCTTTCTGCCACTTGGAGTTAACTATCTTGGATAATTATAGAGAAAGCGTTTTTGTATTTCTTCTTTCTGCCTTCCCAGATCATTAGAATCTACTTTTAGAACATTTGTACCAATTAGTCCTGAGTACAAATGTGCAATGTTGAGAAGCAGAAGGCCATCCCACTGTCTGGAGAAGTTTTCACCATCTACATGGTGCTTACTGGTGTTAGATTTCTAGGAAGTGGGATGCAATACATTTTATTAGGAAGAAAGGTTGAAAGATCAAAATTTATTTAGAAAAATAAAGGAAGTAACCATGCAATTAGCTTCCTCTAAAGACGTGCTTCACTTGAACTGCATTTTTTCGCATTGCTGCTGCGCGTCTCTTTTAAACACAGCAGCCAAACACTTTATGATATGTGAAAAGTGGCTAAGGGGAAATGCTCTTTAATGAGCAGCATCTACTTGTTTGACAATATATCATGTTACTGTCAATCCTTGGAGTTGCACAACCACAACTGGTGCCTTGCAGTCAGGTCAGTTATGCAGTAAAATCTAAATAACTTTTCTGCATTTTCTGTTAAAGTTTAATTATAAGTATGCATAGTGGTCCATAAGAAATTGTGAAATTTGAGTGGTTCACATTTAAAACCATAGCCAGCATTAAAAACCACTCTGAATAGCACTACAAAATAAAGACTTTTCACTGTAAAGCACTCTCCCCACTGACCTTCTGCAGATAGGAATACATGAAGATCTGCTTTCTTAAAATAATCCAAAGCAAAATGTTATTATTTGTTAAGAAATTACCCTGTATGAAACTATTTTATTAAAAAATAGTCTGGCTGGTGGAGGTACTTTTCCCCTGCACATTAACACAAAAGTTAACTTTGTGTAGTTAAACACTTTTGTTCCTACGATTTGTTCTAAGTTTGTGAAAGTGCACCTTAATTGGAGTAGTGTTGCTACTTCATAATGCTGTAAAGTATTTTGTTCTTGAGAATAAGAAATCTTCCATTTCGTTCCCTCCTGGAGGCAACTGTCACCGTGTGATTACTGTTAAAGTCTCTTCATCACTTTTTTAGAAAAGAAGATACTTACTTTCTAACTGATAGGGTGTAAATGGTGTGAATGTTTCTACCTCTGTAGAAAGCAAACTGTTTGCATTGCTGGCATCTGTATTTAATTGCTCCAAAGTTTCCATGGAGACCAGATTTAATCCCAAATGAAGCCACCAGCCCTCCTCTAATGAGGTAAGCATTGGTGCTTCTACCTCAGGTCGCAGCAGTTCCTTCAGATCTGTAAGCGAAGGTCGCTGACATTCCATTTTAACAGTCTGATGCTCTACAGAACCAGAGATCAAGATGTAATATTAATGATCTAGAAACATGAAAACAAAATGTCAATCTGAAAAGAAAGTTCCCAAGTAGTGATGACCTACTACACAGATCCATTGTTTTTACTTCCGTTTGTAACTCAGTAACCATTAATACACTCAAGAGCAAAGCAGTTAGTATTAGCCCAGCAAGTGTGCTTTTTACTTCAATGAACAAGTAATGGGTGTGTTAAATTTTTTTTCAGATCTAATAATGTGTAGCTGCATTACTAAAGTTACAAATGATCTTCGTTGTATGTGGGTTTACTTGTCATGCTTACAAAGACCTAAAATAGTCCTTACTTGAAAAAAAAAAGAACTTCAATAGGAATGAGACCACCATACGTTATTTTCAACTACAAATGAATGTAGAAATTGATTGAACAACATTAGAAGTCAATATATGTAACTTAATACTCAGACTTGTAAAATAGAGGCAAATAAAATGAAATTAAAGAGCAGTAGTAATGCATATTCTAGTGCTGTCAGAAATAACCTGCAGCTTATTTTGGGTTTGTGTATTTTGCTTCCTAACATGAACTCTAGTCTTGTCAAGCTATAACTTTATTTTCCTTTAACAGTACTTTACTATTGATTGATACACTGTTTGAAACCTTATTTAAGGAAAAATAGCACACAGAGAAGAGTTCAATAGATCGCCAAATTTAAGTTACAACAGTTATTTAATATAATTAGCGGTAGTGAGCTGAACATTTTCATAATGAAACAAGTCTTATTTCATCCAAACTACCTCCACAGAAGGTTACATGACATACCAACTTGTATGTTTTCAAACTATCTTATATGTACTGAAAGAACCAGATAATTCAAATTTCAGAGGGTTACATTAACTGGATAAATCTTCAACAAGGATGTGCTCTGTAATATAACATTATCCTTTTCGTTCCATTTTTCTCCATGTACATGGAACTCTTCAACATCAATTAGAAACTGATCACCAATTATAAATCCTTACCGACAAGCAAAAGAGAATTCATATTATCCCGACACTTCTCTGATCGCCACACCAAACATTCTAAGTATTCCCTAGAGGGCTCGGCAGTCAAAGTACTACAAAACATAAAACAATACGTGGAAGTATGACCTTTAACAGCATTAGCTGTTGAATTTTGATTATACAAAGCTATGTTTTAAAGATCTGTTTTCTCTCAAAATTTTCAGTTCATTCATTCATTCATTCATTCAATCATTCATTTTTTTTCTCCTCCATATAGAGTGTCACTTCATGCAACACCAGAGTGAAGAGAAAAGAGTGAGAGAAGCCATCAAGGCTGGTTCACGAAGTAAAGCAGCACCAAGTAAGAATTCTTGCTAGACTGTAGTTCCCTCCCCAAAAGCGTATTTAAATTCTTCATGCATATGTGAGAAAGACAGGAAGGCAAAAAATGCTAGTCTCAAAAACAAGATGAGAAGGAAAGGATGAAGCAATCCTGATTGTATGTCAGCATGAAAAGGCTTAAATTGCATTGTTGGACAATATCCCCAAAACACAGACAATACTTTCTTCCTGTATCTCTTCTGGAGATTCTGTAGGTGAGACTTGCTCAACAACTATGTTTGCCATATGTATAAATATGTGTATACACACATGCATACGTGCTATGTACATAAATATTTACTGTTGCCTACTCATAAAAGAAGACTCCTTTTTTCAGTCCCCTAGGAGACAGAGGTCTACCATAGCGACTGTCATTTCCTTTTTCAAGCTCTCCTGAAAATCCATAGATACGGATCATACACTCTGTTCACTCTTCCACACAGAACACAAAATACATGCAGCTGTCTCAAAGAACATAACTTCCAATGCACAGAGAGACTATTTTTGCACTTATTTTGAGGATTTATGATTTAGAGGATTTGTGACAGGACAATTACCTGTTACCAGAAAGAGAAATAAGTTCTTCCTGAAGTCCCGTGCACAGAAAATTAACCCATGATCTTTGTTGCTTGTACGGAGGAGTTAAAGGTACTTCCATTTCATCTTCCACATAAGGAACAGATTTAGCTAGAAATTGCATAAAGCCACATCCAAATAAAAAAGAAAAGTCTAAATTGTGAAGCTACTTGTGAATGAAACACACATACTAAGGAATTTTTCACTAGTGAAGTTTTGGATTGAAATACAAAATATTTTCATGTGACAATTTAAGCAATAAAAGCCCAAAGCTTCACATTGTATTTCCAGACAGTTTGAGGATAATAAGGTGTAGATTACATTCCATTACTCATTCTGCAACGTCATTTTGGCTACATACTCTTCCCATGCAAGATGATTTTTATGATTTATAGCAGATGTTTTCATATTAAGTATTCATTCCTGTTGGCCTTCTCAGATACTTCCCACATAATAATAATAAATGAAGTTAATTAGATGGGAGGCTTCAGACAATATTGTGGTGGCTGTAACATACAGATGAATGGACTCAGGAACTTCAGACACAGTCAGGATTTTGAAGACAAAACTAGTTTTTCAAGCAGAATTAGTACTCACTGTAATTTCTAGGGATGACCATTGAAATGAATTACACCACCAATTATTTTGAAGCAGTATAAAAACAAACCTGGCATCTTAATATTCACCTGCAAGTCACTTCTCACAGAATCACAGAATATTAGGAGTTG